CACAGTAGCTTCCCCAACACTGTAAATCATTTCTTACAATTGAAAGAAGACCACATTCTCTTGGTCACAGACGGACAAAATAACTTTGTGCTTAAAGCTGAAGTTGTATTGAAGTTGCAACGAGTCTGCATACATTTGAATAGTGTCTCTGCGCAGCTCAGTGGACATTTAGGAGAAGATTCTCTGTCGCTAGTCATATGAAATAGTGGCACAGTGGATGTATTGGGGGCATACATACATGCACTGTACCTATGGATTGTGCAGCCATGAAATGTGTAGTGGAGGTATACACCGTATCAAATAATAAGGCTAATGGAACAGATCAGAGTGTTTAGCTTAAAATGTTGAAAAACTATTGTAGGTGCAGCAATGTGAACACGGCGATAGACCTACAGTGCCTTGCAAAAGTATTCATCCCCCTTGGCTTTTTCCTATTTTGTTGCATTACAACCTGTAATTTAAATTGATTTTTATTTGGATTTAATGTAATGGACATACACAAAATAGTCCAAATTGGTGAAGTGAAATTTAAAAAAAATAACTTGTTTCAGAAAACTCAAACAAATTAATAATGGAAAAGTGGTGCGTGCATACAGTGAGGGAAAAAAGTATTTGATCCCCTGCTGATTTTGTGCGTTTGCCCACTGACAAAGTAATGATCAGTCTCTAATTTTAATGGTAGGTTTATTTGAACAGTGAGAGACAGAATAACAACAACAAAATCCAGAAAAACGCATGTCAAAAATGTTATAAATTGATTTGCATTTTAATGAGGGAAATAAGTATTTGACCCCTCTGCAAAACATGACTTAGTACTTGGTGGCAAAACCCTTGTTGGCAATCACAGAGGTCAGACGTTTCTTGTAGTTGGCCACCAGGTTTGCACACATCTCAGGAAGGATTTTGTCCCACTCCTCTTTGCAGATCTTCTCCAAGTCATTAAGGTTTCGAGGCTGACGTTTGGCAACTCGAACCTTCAGCTCCCTCCACAGATTTTCTATGGGATTAAGGTCTGGAGACTGGCTAGGCCACTCCAGGACCTTAATGTGCTTCTTCTTGAGCCACTCCTTTGTTGACTTGGCCGTGTGTTTTGGGACATTGTCATGCTGGAATACCCATCCACGACCCATTTTCAATGCCCTGGCTGAGGGAAGGAGGTTCTCACCCAAGATTTGATGGTACATGGCCCCATCCATTGTCCCTTTGATGCGGTGAAGTTGTCCTGTCCCCTTAGCAGAAAAACACCCCCAAAGCATAATGTTTCCACCTCCATGTTTGACGGTGGGGATGGTGTTCTTGGGGTCATAGGCAGCATTCCTCCTCCTCCAAACACGGCAAGTTGAGTTGATGCCAAAGAGCTCCATTTTGGTCTCATCTGACCACAACACTTTCACCCAGTTCTCCTCTGAATCATTCAGATGTTCATTGGCAAACTTCAGACGGGCATGTATATGTGCTTTCTTGTGCAGGGGGACATTGCGGGCGCTGCAGGATTTCAGTCCTTCACGGCGTAGTGTGTTACCGATTGTTGTCTTGGGGACTATGGTCCCAGCTGCCTTGAGATCATTGACAAGATCCTCCCGTGTAGTTCTGGGCTGATTCCTCACCGTTCTCATGATCATTGCAACTCCACGAGGTGAGATCTTGCATGGAGCCCCAGGCCGAGGAGATTGACAGGTCTTTTGTGTTTCTTCCATTTGTGAATAATCTCACCAAGCTGCTTGGCGATGGTCTTGTAGCCCATTCCAGCCTTGTGTAGGTCTACAATCTTGTCCCTGACATCCTTGGATGGCTCTTTGGTCTTGGCCATGGTGGAGAGTTTGGAATCTGATTGATTGATTGCTTCTGTGGACAGGTGTCTTTTATACAGGTAACAAACTGAGATTAGGAGCATTCCCTTTAAGAGTGTGCTCCTAATCTCAGTTTGTTACCTGTATAAAAGACACCTGGGAGCCAGAAATCTTTCTGATTGAGAGGGGGTAAAATACTTATTTCCCTCATTAAAATGAAAATCAATTTATAACATTTTTGACATGCGTTTTTCTGGAATTATTTGTTGTTATTCTGTCTCTCACTGTTCAAATAAACCTACCAAATTATAGACTGATCATTTCTTTGTCAGTGGGCAAACGTACAAAATCAGCAGGGGATCAAATAGTTTTTTCTCTCACTGTATGTATTCACCCCCTTTGCTATGAAGCCCCTAAATAAGATCTGGTGCAACCAATTACCGTCAGAAGTCACATAAGTAGTTAAATAAAGTCCACCTGTGTGCAATCTAAGTGTCACATGTTCTGTCACATGATCTCAGTATATATACACCTGTTCTGGAAGGCCCCAGAGTCTACAACAACACTAAGCAAGGGGCACCACCAAGCAAGCGAAACCATGAAGACCAAGGAGCTCTCCAAACAGGTCAGGGACAAAGTTGTGGAGAAGTACAGATCAGGGTTGGATTTTAAAAAATGATCTGAAACTTTGAACATCCCACGGAGCACCATTAAATCCATTATTAAAAAATTGAAAGAATATGGCACCACAACAAACCAAGAGAGGGCTGCCCACCAAAACTCACAGACCAGGCAAGGAGGGCATTAATCAGAGAGGCAACAAAGAGACCAAAGATAACCCTGAAGAGCTGCAAAGCTCCACAGCGGAGATTGGAGTATCTGTCCATAGGACCACTTTAAGCCATACACTCCACAGAGCTGGGCTTTACGGAAGAGTGGCCAGAAAAAAAAAAATTCTTAAAGAAAAAAATAAGCAAACATATTTGGTGTTTGCCAAAAGCCATCTTTTTGGCCATCAAGGAAAACGGTATGTCTGGCGCAAACCCAACACCTCTCATCACCCCAAGAACACCATCCCCACAGTGAAGCATGGTGGTGGCAGCATCATGCTGTGGGGATGTTTTTCATCGGCAGGGACTGGGAAACTGGTCAGAATTGAAGGAATGATGGATGGCGCTAAATACAGGGAAATTCTTGAGAGAAACCTGTTTCAGTCTTCCAGAGATTTGAGACTGGGACAGAGGTTCACCTTCCAGCAGGACAATGACCCTAAGCATACTGCTAAAGCAACACTCGAGTGGTTTAATGGGAAACATTTAAATGTCTTGGAATGGCCTAGTCAAAGCCCAGACCTCAATCCAATTGAGAATATGTGGTATGACTTAAAGATTTCTGTACACCAGCGGAACCTATCCAACTTGAAGGAGCTGGATCAGTTTTGCCTTGAAGAATGAGCAAAAATCCCAGTGGCTAGATGTGCCAAGCTTATAGAGCCATACCCCAAGAGACTTGCAGCTGTAATTGCTGCAAAAGGTGGCTCTACAAAGTATTGACTTTGGGGGGGTGAATAGTTATGCACGCTCAAGTTTTCTGTTTTTTTGTCTTATTTCTTGTTTGTTTCACAAGAAAAAATATTTTGCATCTTCAAAGTGGTAGGCATGTTGTCTAAATCAAATGATACACACCCCCCAAAAATCAATTTTAATTCCAGGTTGTAAGGCAACAAAATAGGAAAAATGCCAAGGGGGGTGAATACTTTAGCAAGCCACTGTATGAGCGAACGTTCCAAAATGCAATTTGCGGGAAACACAGTTCCAAAATGGGCACCGCACATGCGAGCTGTTTCATGGACAGAGATGGAAATATCTGTTAGAAATGTAGAAAAAGGGGAGATCTATAGTTTCAACAACTATCATGGGTTGCTAATATGACTAAGATAATGCCTTTGGATGCTAGATAATGAAATAAAGTTGAAAGAAAACCAGTAGAACAGGAGAATGCATATGAGGAAGTATTTTTTAAATAATTGCCTCCACATTTCTATGGTGGGATTTTGGCTATAGGCTACATTGAAGCAAGGTAAGACATGCCTCAATAATTTGAAGTAAAACGTCCAAACAATTAAGGAACAGGAAAAATATAGCGATTCTAATGATAGGCCTAACCGTCTTCTGGTCGATGGAAAGGCATTTCCAAAAACCTTCTCAATTAAATGTTAACTAGCTACATAGTAGCCTATGCCTACCTGCCAGAATGATATCATGATATCATATTTGCATCAATCCTGTGGCCATTTGTTTTAAAATCTCCATCTCAGATCCTACAGAAAGACCACTAACCAAACAACAGTGCTAGGTGCCTGCACACTTGAATTAAAGGCGAACTACCCAAAAAATCTCCTGATGTGGTTTAAGAACATCTCATTTTGTTATTTTTCTATTAAAAGTGTGATTTTTAAAAAAAAGTGTGATTTAAACTGAAATAAATCTGAAACCTGTGCATTTCTGACTCAGTTGACAGCTTCATTTATATGTTTCAATAGTAGATCTACTATTAGCCTACTTGAACAGTACAGCTTGGGTTGGCCTGAGACCAATTTGTGATTTATAATTTTGGGTCATTCAGAGTGTATGTCACTGTTTCTCTTCCGTTCACTAGGCGGGCCGTTTGGCAAAATTAGAGTATACCCACTTCTCCAGACACCACTAGTCTTATACAGTACATTTAGTTATTGCTTGCTTTATTGTCTTTTGTTTAATTTATATAACAACATTGTAGCATTATCTAGTCCTAATGACGTGATTCCACTATTTGTACCGGTTTGCATCAGTTTCAATGCGGAACTTTTATCTTGAAGGCCAACCGCTGATTCCACTACTGTCGCTAATCGCTATTGTGGCTCAGTTCACATAGCTAGGTCGTTCCAGCCTTCTCCCTTGGTCGTGAGGCATGTACTTTCTCACATCCCCGAAAGAGTGTTCTATTTATATTTCTCTTCTCTTCTTTTTCTGAGAGAGGGTTATTTGTTGTTGTATATGCATTTAGTGGATGTTAGAGGGAGAAAATAACACAGGTTGAGATAGGTCAAAATAAGGCAGTATTTGGAGAAAGAGGAAGTAAACTAGCACTCGGCGTACTGTTGTGAATTACAGTTGAACCGGACAGAAGCAGGAAACTGATATCATCCATTTAAACCGTAACTGGCTGAAAATGGCCACGTCAAAACACCAAGGTGAGTGTTATACCGATACCCTTCTGTGAGGTAGGCCTACTCTTCCCATTTCATTGCAGGCCGACTATATGTGCTATAAAAAAGTGTTCGCATAAAATAACAGGTCTCTACCAGGCACAGCCAGAAGAGCCTATGTTTCTTCATAGGTTCCTGCCTTCGTAGCCAAGTACTGTAGTTTTAGACTGGGTAGTCTTATCTGTAAAGCACTTTATGCCAACTGCTGATGTAAAACGGCTATTTAAAGTACATTTTATTTATTATTTGTATTAAAGCAAGTAAAGAACTTCCTGAAACAAGTAAAGAACTTCCTGAGACAAGTACAAACATTCATTTCCACAAAGATGAATAACTTCCCAGAAGTAAGTGTATGTAAAGCTATGTGAAGATAAGTCAAATCACATTTTATTGGTCACATATACATGTTTAGCAGATGTTAAATTCGGGTGTACTGAAATGCTTGTGCTCCTAGCTCCAACAGTGCAGTAATACACAACAATACACACAAATCTAAAAAGTAAAATAATTGAATAAAGAAATCGCTATACACATATATACACACACATGTATACAGTACCAGTCATATATATATATATATAGTACCAGTCAAAAGTTTGGACACACCTACTTATTCAAGGGTTTTTCTTTATTTTTACTATTTTCTACATTGTAGAATAATAGTGAAGACATCAAAACTATGAAATAACATATATGGAATCATGTAGTAACCAATAAAGTGTTAATCAAATCAAAAATATATTTTATATTTGAGATTCTTCAAATAGCCACCCTTTGCCTTGATGACAGCTTTGCACACTCTTGGCATTCTCTCAACCAGCTTCATGAGGAATGCTTTTCCAACAGTCTTGAAGGAGTTTCCACATATGCTGAGCACTTGTTGGCTGCTTTTCCTTCACTCTGCGGTCCAACTCATCCCAAACCATCTCAATTGTGTTGAGGTCGGGTGATTGTGGAGGCCAGGTCATCTGATGCAGCACTCCATCACTCTCCTTGGTCAAATAGCCCTTACATAGCCTGGAGGTGTGTTTTGGGTCATTGTCCTGTTGAAAAACAAATTATAGTTCCACTAAGCGCAAACCAGATGGGATGGCGTATCGCTGCAGAATGCTGTGGTAGCCATGCTGGTTAAGTGTGCCTTGAATTCTAAATAAATCACAAACAGTGTTACAGCAAAGCACCCCCACACCATCACACCTCCTCCTCCATGCGTCACAGTGGGAACCACACATGCAGAGATCATCCGTTCACCTACTCTGCGTCTCACAAAGACACGGATGTTGGAACTAAAAATCTCAAATTTGGACTCATCAGACCAAAGGACAGATTTCCACTGGTCTAATGTCCATTGCTCGTGTTTCGTGGCCCAAGCAAGTCTCTTCTTCTTATTGGTGTCCTTTAGGGGTGGTTTCTTTGCAGCAATTCGACCATGAAGGCCTGATTCACGCAGTCTCCTCTGAACAGTTGATGTTGAGATGTGTCTGTTACTTAAACTCTGTGAAGCATTATTTTGGGCTGCAATTTCTGAGGCTGGTAACTCTAATGAACGTGTCCTCTGCAGCAGTGGTAACTCTGGGTCTTCCTTTCCTGTGGTGGTCCTCATAAGAGTCAGTTTCATCATAGTGCATGATGGTTTTTGCGACTGCACTTGAAGAAACTTTCAAAGTTATTGAAATGTTCCGTATTGACTGACCTTCATGTCTTAAAGTAATGATGTACTGTCGTTTCTCTTTGCTTATTTGAACTGTTCTTGCCATAATATGGACTTGGTCTTTTACCAAATAGGGCTATCTTCCGTATACCACCCCTACCTAGTCACAACATAACTGATTGGATACAGATGAGTCGACCTACAGTTTTATTACGCGATTGCAGGAGAAGAGCCAGATCGTATTAGGCATTGCAAGTGAAGGAACGAGACGGCGATTGCTACGAGAACTGGGTTTTTGGCTTACCAGAGGCTGTGGAAATATGCAGTGTAGCTGAGGTTACTGAGAAACGCATGAGGACGATAGATGGAATACAAGTGGATACAGTGAATGCAGCAGAGAGACAGCAGAGGTACAAACCACAGGAGAGCACACCCATGAGAGGTCAGGTGACATTACATAACAAAAACTGTACATACTGTGGTAACAATCACAAGCTGGGTGGAGAGCAATGCCCAGCTTATGGCAAAACATGCAGGTCCTGTGGTGTTGCAAATCATTTTGCCAAGGTGTGTCAGGCAGGGGACAGATCAGGCAGAGTAAAGAAAGTGCATGTTGTGGAGGATAATATATATACAGAGAGAGGGAGGCTCTGACAATGAGGAACTGGTCTACACCACGGAATTGATCAGCACAGCTCACTCTCAGGGACAGAAATGGTTGGTGCAGCTAAGATTGAATAATAAAAGACAAGAATGCCAGCTCGACACCGGGGCAACATGCAAGAGAGTGAAAGAGAGAATATCACCAAATACCCCACTACAGGCAAGCAACACACTACTGAAGCTATACTCGGGAGAGTTAATGAGATCAATGGGGCGATATCACACAGACTGTGTCATTAAGGGAGTTAAGCACAAGCTAGTGTTTGAAGTTGTGGAGATGGACCAAAATCCATTACTCTCTGGTTCTACGTGTGAGCGCTTAGGACTCATGACTGTCAAAATACCAGCGGAGCTAAACAAAGTGGAGCAGTGCCTCAAAGGACCTTTAACCAAAGAACAGCTGCTGAGTGCAGTTATGACGTTTTCAACGATCCAGTGGAGTCTGTGCCAGGAGATGTCCACTTCGTACTGGACCCAAGTTGCACCACTGTACAATGTGCACCACAGAATGTGCCTGTAGCCTTGAAGGCACAAGTGAAAGCCCAACTGGAGAAATATGAACGTGATGGACATATTACCCCAGTGACTGAGCCGACACCCTGGATAAGCTACATAGTTGTAGTTGCCAAGCCAGAAAACATCAGATCATGTATGGACCCCAAACCCTTTAATCTAGCACTGAAAAGGTCTCAATACCTTATGCCAACATTAGAGGATGTGTTGTACAAACTGCCTAAGGCACGCGTATTTGCGCTGGTGGATGTTCGAGATGCCTTTCTCCAGTGTAAACTTGATGAGGACAGCAGCAGGATAATGATGTTCTGGACGCCATGGGGGAGGATGAGATGGCTGAAACTTCCCTTTGGGGTGTCCGTGGTCCCTGAGATTTATCAACGTAAGCAACATGAACTGCTGGGGGACCTCAGAGCCATCGATGCCGTGACTCCAATGAAGAGGCGGAGCGTGACCACAACAACAATCTGCACGCACTGATGGAGCGGTGCAGGGAGGTGAGACTCCGGCTCAGTGTGCAAAAGCTGTAGTTCAAGCTGAAAGCAGTTCAGTTTCATGGACACATACTATCCTCCGAGGGACTGAGAATAGACCCAGAGAAGACCAGGGCTAAACTGGACATGCGGACACCCACTGATGCCAAGTTTAATTGGATTTGTGACATACCTGGCCAAGTTCCTGCCCAAGCTGTCTGAGGTGTGTGATCCACTTCGCCGGCTCCTGGACAAAAACAGTGTGTGGCACTGGCTGCCTAAACATGAACAAGCTGTACAGGAAATAAAGCTCCTGGTGTCTGTCACGCCTGTTCTGAGGTACTACGACGTCTTGAAACCGGTCACTGTGCAAAGTGACGCAAGCAAGAATGGATTAGGGTGCTGCCTAATGCAACACGGACAGCCCGTGGCGTTTGCTTCGCGATCATGGACGCCAACAGAGCAAAACTACGCTCAAATAGAAAAGGAATGTTTGAGTATTGTATTTGCTTGCCAGAGATTTCATCAATATCTGTATGGCAGAGTTAATTACAGCTGAGACGGATCATAAGCCAATCGCAATCTTCAAGAAGCAGCTCCTCTGTGCCCCTAAGCGTCTCCAAGGTATGTTAATGCAGCTGCAAAACTACAACTTGGGTGTCCTCTACAAGCTTGGGCCGGAAATGTACATCAGCAACGCTCTGAGCAGAGCAACAACACAAGGCAGGGGGACAGATGCACCACACACACAGCACACTGTGTGCAACGTAAAAAGTTAGCAGGCTGCATTCACACACATTGACCAGGCACAGCATCTCAATGTTACAAACCACAGGTTCCGTCAGATTTTACAGTACACTGAGGTCAAGTCAGTTGTTCTCTCAGGATGGCCAGCTGTGAAAGAGGACACCTCTCTGAGTGTAAGAGATTATTGGTCCTTTCGTGATGAAATCAACGTGCAAAACGGGGCACTGAGGGCGGAAATGCTAGCCGCATACATGCTAGCCACATTGGCGGGAAGGCACGCTATAGACAAGCAAGGGGCACACATTTCTGGCCGAACATGAGAGGGAAAATCAAGGACTATATATCAAATCAAATTTTATTTGTCACATGCGCCGAAAACAACAGGTGTAGACCTTACAGTGAAATGCTTACTTACAAGCCCTTAACCAACAATGCAGTTTTAAGAAAGAATACCCAAAAAATAAAAATACAATATAAAATAATACAAAATAAAAGTAACAAATAATTAAAGAGCAGCAGTAAAAATAACAATAGCGAGGCTATATACAGGGGGTACAGGTACCGAGTCAATGTGCGGGGGCACCGGTTAGTCGAGGTAATTGGGGTAATATGTACATGTAGGTAGAGTTATTAAAGTGACTATGCATAGATAATAAACAGAGAGTAACAGCAGCGTAAAAGAGGGGTGGAGGGAAATACAAATAGTCTGGGTAGCCATTTGATTATATGTTCAGGAGTCTTATGGCTTGGGGGTAGAAGCTGTTTAGAAGCCTCTTGGACCTAGACTTGGCGCTCCGGTACCGCTTGCCGTGCGGTAGCAGAGAGAACAGTCTATGACTAGGGTGGCTGGAGTCTTTGACAATTTTTAGGGCCTTCCTCTATACCAGGCGGTGTCAGAGGAAGGCCCTAAAAATTGTCAAAGACTCCAGCCACCCTAGTCATAGACTGTTCTCTCTGCTACCGCACGGCAAGCGGTACCGGATGGCAGGAAGCTTGGCCCCAGTGATGTACTGGGCCGTACGCACTACCCTCTGTAGTGCCTTGTGGTCGGAGGCCGAGCAGTTGCCATACCAGGCAGTGATGCAACCAGTCAGGATGCTCTCGATGGTGCAGCTGTAGAACCTTTTGAGGATCTGAGGACCCATGCCAAATCTTTTCAGTCTCCTTAGGGGGAATAGGTTTTGTCGTACCCTCTTCACGACTGTCTTGGTTTGCTTGGACCATGTTAGTTTGTTGGTGATGTGGACACCAAGGAACTTGAAGCTCTCAACCTGCTCCACTACAGCCCCGTAGATGAGAATGGGGGCGTGCTCGGTACTCTTCTTTTTCCTGTAGTCCACAATCATCTCCTTTGTCTTGATCACGTTGAGGGAGAGGTTGTTGTCCTGGCACCACACGGCCAGGTCTCTGACCACCTCCCTATAGGCTGTCTCGTCGTCGTTGGTGATCAGGCCTACCACTGTTTTGCCATTGGCAAACTTAATGATGATGTTGGAGTCGTGCCTGGCCATGCAGTCATGAGTGAACAGGGAGTACAGGAGGGGACTGAGCATGCACCCCTGAGGGGCCCCCGTGTTGAGGATCAGCGTGGCGGATGTGTTGTTACCTACCCTTACCACATGGGGGCGGCCCGTCAGGAAGTCCAGGATACAGTTGCAGAGGGAGGTGTTTAGTCCCAAGGTCCTTAGCTTAGTGATGAGCTTTGAGGGCACTTTGGTGTTGAACGCTGAGCAGTAGTCAATGAATAGCATTCTCACATAGGTGTTCCTATTGTCCAGGTGTGAAAGGGCAGTGTGTAGGGCAATAGAGATTGCATCATCTGTGGATCTGTTGGGGCTATATGCAAATTGGAGTGGGTCTAGGGTTTCTGGGATAATGGTGTTGATGTGAGCCATGACCAGCCTTTCAAAGCACTTCATGGCTACAGACGTGAGTGCTATGGGTCAGTAGTCATTTAGGCAGGTTACCTTAGTGTTCTTGGGCACAGGGACTATGGTTGTCTGCTTTAAACATGTTGGTATTACAGACTCAGACAGGGAGAGGTTGAAAATGTCAGTGAAGACACTTGCCAGTTGGTCAGCGCATGCTCAGAGTCCTTGTAATCCGTCTGGTCTTACTCACATCGGCAATGGAGAGCGTGATCACACAGTCATCCAGAACAGCTGGTACTCTCATGCATGTTTCAGTGTTACTTGCCTCGAAGCGAGCATAGAAGTAATTTAGCTGGTCTCGTAGGCTCGTGTCACTGGGCAGCTCGCGGCTGTGCTTCCCTTTGTAGTCTGTAATAGTTTGCAAGCCCTGCCACATCCGACGAGCGTCGGAGCCGGTGTAGTACGATTCGATCTTAGTCCTGTATTGACGCTTTGCCTGTTTGATGGTTCGTCGGAGGGCATAGCGAGATTTCTTATAAGCTTCCGGGTTAGAGTCCCGCTCCTTGAAAGCGGCAGCTCTACCCTTTAGCTCAGTGCAGATGTTGCCTGTAATCCATGACTTCTGGTTGGGGTATGTACGTACAGTCACTGTGGGGACAACGTCATTGATGCACTTATTGATGAAGCCAGTGACTGATGTGGTGTACTCCTCAATGCCATCGGAAGAATCCCGGAACATATTCCAGTCTGTACTAGCAAAACAGTCCTGTAGCTTAGCATCTGCTTCATCTGACCACTTTTTTATTGACCGAGTCACTGGTGCTTCCTGCTTTAGTTTTTGCCTGTAAGCAGGAATCATGAGGATATAATTATGGTCAGATTTTCCAAATGGAGGGCGAGGGAGAGCTTTGTATGCGTCTCTGTGTGTGGAGTAAAGGTGGTCTATAGTTTTTTCCCTCTGGTTGCACATTTAACATGCTGGTAGAAATTAGGTAAAACGGATTTAAGTTTCCCTGCATTAAAGTCCCCGGCCACTAGGAGCGCCGCCTCTGGATGAGCTTTTTCCTGTTTGCGTATGGCCGTATACAGTTCATTGAGTGTGGTCTTAGTGCCAGCATCGGTTTGTGGTGGTAAATAGACAGTTACGAAAAATATAGATAAACTCTCTTGGTAGATAGTGTGGACTACAGTTTATCATGAGATATTCTACCTCAGGCGAGCAAAACTTTGAGACTTCCTTACATATCGTGCACCAGCTGTTGTTTACAAATATACATAGACCGCCACCTCTTATCTTACCAGAGGCTGCCGTTCTTTCCTGCCGATACAGTGTATAACCCGCCAGCTGTATGTTATTCATGTCATCGTTCGGCCACGACTCGGTGAAACATAAGATATTACAGTTTTTTATGTCCCGTTGGTAGGATGTTCGTGCCTGTAGTTTGTCCATTTTATTATCAAGCGATTGTAAATTGGCCAATAGTATATCGATGGCTAAGGCAGATTAGCCACTCGTCGCCGGCTCCTTACCAAGCACCCCGATCTCCTTCCGCTATATCTTATTTTCTTTCTACTGCGAATGACGGGGATGAGGGCTCTGTCGGGTGTCTGGAGCAAATCCCTCTCGTCCGACTCATAAAATAAAAAGTATTCCTCCAATTCAAAGTGAGTAATCGCTGTTCTGATGTCCAGAAGCTCTTTTCGGTCATAAGAGATGGTAGCAGCAACATTATGTACAAAATAAGTTTAAAACAATGCGAAAAAACACACAAAATAGCACGGTTGGTTAAGAGTCCATAAAACGGCAGCCATCCCCTCCGGCGCCATTCCAACTGCTCAGCCTGTAATGAATATGCACGAGCAAAGCAAAATGAATCAATGATGTCACATGACATCCCAGAGCGCCCATGGCAAACAGTGAGCATGGACCTTTTTGCCTATGCAGGGAAGGACTTCCTGATCATGGTTGATCATTACTCAGATTACTGGGAGGTGGAGCCACTACCAGACGTATCAGCTGACACGGTCATCACACGCTGCAAAGTCCAGTGGGAAACCAGACTGTGTAATCACAGACAATGGGGGGTGCTATGATTCAGCCAGATTCATACAATTTGCAGAGGAGTGGGGATGCACTCATATCACCTTGTCCCCTCACCATCCACAAGCCAATGGAAAGGCACAGTCAGCTGTCAAGATGGTGAAAGGCTTATGCAAAAGGGCCAAGCTAGACGGTACGGACTTGGTCAGCTATACTGCAGTGGCACAACACGCCCACTGAGGGGATGGACAGTAGCCCCGCACAGCGTCTCGTGTCACGCAGACTCAAGTCATCGCTGCCGGCGGCACCAAGCCTGCTGCAGCCCTCTGTGGTTGTGGGTGTCACTGAGAAACTCAGAAAATGAGGATTGCCTAATCACACTATGAGGTGGCCACCAGAGACCTCCCTGACTTGAACGTTGGAGATCAGAATGCGACCATTACCAGGTGACCGGACAGGACGGTGGCGGCTCGGTTTCTGTCTGAAGAGGGTCGCTCCCCGGTCGTTTCTTGTGGACGTCGATGGCACACTCTACAGACGCAACAGAGTGGACCCTCGAGTGGCAGAACAGGCCGCACAAGGATGAAACTCATTCAACGCCACAGCATGAGAAATTGGAGCGTGGTCAGCCAGACCCAGACAGGGCAGTGGGAACTGGAAAGTCTGGAAATGAGGCTGAGAAGTTGAAGGACTGTGGGGAGGGGCATATGGGTGAGTCACATAACACACAGGCATATGTGCCAAAAGCACACCTGCACCACAAATAGACACTGAAATACCCGCTGTGCATCTGCGTAGTGTCTGTCATGACCACCCAAAATACTAAATCTATAAGTGACAGGTTTCACTGACCTAAAGCCGATGGGTTATGGACGAGAGACTTTGGGGCGGACACACAGTTTTACTATTGTAGAAGTATCAAGTTGTATTGCATTGTGTAAAAAAAAAAAAAAAAAAAAGGCAAGAACAATTATATTTTCAGTTCATCATTGTAGGCAACGATGTTGGGTCTATTTGTTAACTGTTGTGGTTCAAAACGTAAACATTGAAAGGAAAAGAGATGTTATATGTAAGGCTTGGATGCCACCTGCTGGTATGGTGCTAAACTGTTAGGTTATAGACCGGATGCAAATTGTTCTACGCACGGGATATGGAAGTTCTTAGACGCTGGCTAAGGCACTGTTGGCTTCTTCAATAAAACTACATGAAAGGAGCAACAATAGCTCAGCCGCGAAGTGGTAGGCCACACAAGCTCACAGAATGGGACCGCCGAGTGCTGAAGTGCTCAGCAGCGCCCAGAAGAGTGGAGGCTGTTATAGCGGCAAAGGGGGGACCAACTCCATATTAATGCCCATGATTTTGGAATGAGATGTTTGACAAGCAGGTGTCCACATACTTTTGGTCATGTAGTGTATCCTGCTCATCGAACATCTCATTCCAAAATCATGGCCATTAATATGGAGTTGGTCACCCTTTGCTGCTGTAACAGCCTCCACTCTTCTGGGCGCTGCTGAGCACTTCAGCAGCGTTGAATGAGCACTGCTGTGGCGTTGAATGAGTTTCATCCTTGTGCGGCCTATTTGTTTAACACAATAGTGAAGACATCAAAACTATGAAATAACACATATGGAATCATGTAGTAACCAAAAAAGTGTTAAACAAATAAAAATATATTTCATATTTAGATTCTTCAATGTAGCCACGTGTTATTTCATAGTTTTGATGTCTTCACTATTATTCTACAATGTAGAAAATAGTAAAAATAAAGAAAAACCCTGGAATGAGTAGGTGTGTCCAAACTTTTGACTGGTACTGTGTATATATATATATATATATATATATATATATATATCAAAATATATTTTATATTTGAGATTCTTCAAATAGCCACCCTTTGCCTTGATGACAGCTTTGCACACTCTTGGCATTCTCTCAAACAGCTTCAGCTGGAATGCTTTTCCAACAGTCTTGAAGGAGTTCCCACATATGCTGAGCACTTGTTGGCTGCTTTTCCTTCACTCTGCCGTCCGACTCATCCCAAACCATCTCAATTGGGTTGAGGTCGGGTGATTGTGGAGGCCAGGTCATCTAATGCAGCACTCCATCACTCTCTTTCTTGGTAAAATAGCCCTTACACAGCCTGGAGGTGTGTTGGGTCATTGTCCTGTTGAAAAACAAATGATAGTCCCACTAAGCCCAAACCAGATGGGATGGCGTATCGCTGCAGAATGCTGTGGTAGCCATGCTGGTTAAGTGTGCCTTGAATTCTAAATAAATCACAGACAGTATCACCAGCAAAAATCTCCAATTTGGACTCCAGACCAAAGGACACATTTCCACCGGTCTAATGTCAATTTCTCGTGTTTCTTGGCCCAAGCAGGTCTCTTCTTCTTATTGGTGTCCTTTAGTAGTGGTTTATTTGCAGCAATTCGACCATGAAGGCCTGATTCACACAGTCTCCTCTGAACAGTTGATGTTGAGATGTGTCTGTGACTTGAACTCTGAAGCATTTATTTGGGCTGCAATTTCTGAGGCTGGTAACTCTAATGAACTTATTCTCTGCAGCAGAGGTAAATCTGGGTCTTCCATTCCTGTGGCGGGCCTCATGAGAGCCCGTTTCATCATAGTGCTTGATGGTTTTTGCGACTGCACATGAAGAAACTTTAAAAGTTCTTGAAAGTTTCCGTATTGACTGACCTTCATGTCTTAAAGTAATGATGGACTGTCGTTTCTCTTTGCTTATTTGAGCTGTTCTTGCCATAATATGGACTTGGTCTTTTACCAAATAGGGCTATCTTCTGTATACCCCCCTTACCTTGTCACAACACAACTGATTGGCTCCAATGCATTAAGAAGGAAAGAAATTCCACAAATTAACTTTTAACAAGGCACAACTGTTAATTGAAATGCATTCCAGGTGACTACCTCATGAATCTGGTTGAGAGAATGCCAAGAGTGTGCAAAGCTGTCATCAAGGCAAAGGGTGGCTATTTGAAGAATCTCAAATATAAAATATATTTTGATTTGTTTAACACTTTTTTTGGTTACTACATGATTCCATAGTTTTGATGTCTTCTATTATTCTACAATGTAAAAATAAAGAAAAACTCTCAAATGAGTTTGTGTATCCATACTTTTGACTGATAGTGTATGTATATGTAATACGTAGGATAGAATAGTATATGTACAGCAATAGTTAAATAGGATAGGCCTTGACTAGAATACATTATATACATGTAAAGTGGGTAAAACAGTATGTAAACATTATTAAAGTGAACAGTGCATTCGGAAAGTATTCAGACTCCTTGACTTTTTCCACATTTTGTTACGTTACAGCCTTATTCTAAAATTGATTTTTTTTAAATTATCCCCTCATCAATCTACACATAAAAAATTGAAATATTACATTTACATAAGTATTCAGACCCTTTACTCAGTACTTTGTTGAAGCACCTTTGGCAGCGATTACAGCCTCGAGTCTTCTTGGGTATGATGCTACAAGCTTGGCACACCTGTATTTGGGGAGTTTCTCCCATTCTTCTCCTCAGATCCTCTCAAGCTCTGTCAGGTTGGATGGCGTGCGTCGCTGCACAGCTATTTTCAGGTCTCTCCAGAGATGTTCGATCGAGTTCAAGTCCGGGCTCTGGCTGGGCCACTCAAGGATATTCAGAGACTTGTCCCGAAGCCACTCCTGGCTGTGTGCTTAGGGTCGTTGTCCTGTTGGAAGGTGAACCTTCACCCCAGTCTAAGGTCCTGAGCGCTCTGGAGCAGGTTTTCATCAAGGATCTCTCTATACTTTGCTCTGTTCATCTTTCCTTCAAACTTTACTAGTCTCCCAGTCCCTGACGCTGAAAAACATCCCCACAGCATGATGCTGCCACCATCATGCTTCACCGTAGGGATGGTGCCAGATTTCTTCCAAACGTGAAGCTTGGCATTCAGGCCAAAGAGTTCAATCTTGGTTTCATCAGACCAGAGAATCTTGTTTCTCATGGTCTGAGAGTCCTTTAGGTGCCTTTTGGCAGACTCCAAGCGGGCTGTCATGTGCCTTTTACTGAGGAGTGTGTTCTGTCTGGCCACTCTACCATAAAGGCCTGATTTGGTGGAGTGCTGCAGAGAAGGTGTCCTTCTGGAAGGTTCTCCCATCTCCACAGAGGAACTCTCGAGCTCTGTCAGAGTGACCATCGGGTTCTTGGTCACCTCCCTTACCAAGGCCCTTCTCCCTCGATTGCTCAGTTTTGCCAGGCAGCCAGCTCTAGGAAGTCTTGGTGGTTCCAAACTTCTTCCATTTAAGAATGATGGAGGCCACTGTGTTCTTGGGGACTTTCAATGCTGCAGAAATGTTTTTGTACCCTTCCCCAGATCTGGGCCTTGACACAATCCTGTCTCGAAGCTCTACGGACAATTCCTTCAACCTCATGGCTTGGTTTTTGCTCTGACACGCACTGTCAATGTGGGACTTTATATAGACAGGTGTATGCCTTTCCAAATCATGTCCAGTCAATTGAATTTACCACAGGTGGACTCCCAAGTTTTAGAAACATCTCAACAATGATCAGTGGAAACAGGATGCACCTGAGCTCAATTTCGAGTCTCATAGCAAAGGGTCTGAATACTTATGTAAATAAGGTATTTGTTTTTTATTTGTTATACATTTCCTAAATTTTCTAAAAACCTGTTTTTGCTTTGTCATTATGGGGTATTGTGTGTAGATTGATGAGAATACGGCTGTAACGTAACAAAGTGGAAAAGGTAAAGGGGTCTGAATACTTACGAATGCACTGTATATAGGGCAGCAGCCTCTAAGGTGCAGGGTTGAGTAACCGGGTGGTAGCTGGCTAGTGACAGTGACTAAAGTTCAGGGCAGGGTACTGTACTGGGTGGAGGCTGGCTTGTGGTGACTATTTGACAGTCTGATGGCTTTGAGATAGAAGCTGTTTTAGCAGCTTAAGAAGGCAGTCCCACGGTTTCAGCTTTGATGCACCTGTACTGACCACCCGCTACCATCCAGAAGGCGAGAACAGGCCATGGCTCGGGTGGCTGAGGTCCTTGAGGAAAATAAATAAAGCTAATCAAATGATAATGTACTTAAATATCTGGATGGTTGATTTTTTTTGTTTATTCATGGATGGGTTCATTCCTAGAATCACTTGCTTACTGGATAGATACATTGCCTGGTGAATTCAATCCTTTACTTATTTATTATGTGACTTGACTTCAGATACTCTGACGGAATGCTTGAGTTGCAGCCATCTTAAGGTGAGAGGACAAAATGTTGATATTATTATGACAAATCTACTTATTCTACACTCACGGCTCATAACTGTTGTTGCAATAATTGCCAAATATTTTAGAAAGATTAATCTGAAGGTTTTACCATATTTGGTTGCTCAATCTTGAACAGACCGCAGAAATTTGGATTGAGCGTGAGCCCTTAGTGTCTACAGAAAATGAGATTTCAATCTACAGGTAAACACCTTGGACTTACTTTCCCCTACCTCAATCATTAGCACCTGTCACGAACAAATCCTGATAAACTGAATTACTGAATCCTCTGTTCATTTAATGTTTTGGTTACCTAATTTGCATTCCCTTCTTCCAGACTTGAATCTATTGCAGGGCGTTATGAGTGCAGAGTATCAGGGCTGCGCTGGGTATGTGAGAGCAAAGTCACACTTCAGTACCACTTCAGCTCTTGGGACCCTCACAGGGCAGTGCTACAAAGCATGGGGTACAGGCAAGGAGGCCCCCTACTGGACATCAAAATCATTGAAGGAAAACTGGAAGAAGTGCATCTGCCACATTTTGCCTGTTTTGGTGAATGTATGGATGTCAGCTATACTGAACAAGACATTGTTTTATTGACCTGGGAATTCTCAATACATTTTAAAATAAATGTTTTAATCAAACTGATATTAATGCAAATGTTCTGGTTTGTGTCCATTTTAGGGGTTGGAGATCGTTATGATCCCTCCATAAAGCAGAAAGTGAGAGTTCTTAATGTAGCAGACCGAGGCGTGTCCATAGAACAAGTGGATAAGGTCACCCGCTTCCACGTCAAGATTCTCCATCCATCTTTCTCTCTGAGGGGTGTTATCCTGCAGGCATTAGGGTGTTCCGTGCACTGTGACTTGCAGATTTATCGGGCCAGGACAGCACACCTCACGCTACGTGCTTATCTGATGCCATGTGATCCTGCATTAACACAGGTTATTAAGGCTAACTCTGTTCCTCTTCCTCATTGTTACTTCCATATAAAGTATTTATTCAACCAGGATGGTCCTCTCAGCAACAATTGCCAGTGATTCAAAAAAACATCAAAACACTCCAAATCAGATCAGACAAACATAAAACAATCAGACACCCTGATCAAGGCATTAGCCAAGACGTGTTGGTGTATTTGAATGACTTAGCCCACACATTTAAAGGCTTTTTAACGTTCAAACCCACACGTGCCTGGACTTTGATTTTTTATGACACTTGGCACCCATTTGTAGTGATAGTTTTTCCTTTTTCTTGTCTAACCTAAAACAATGTTGAGAACAAATGGTCATTGGAAGTATACAGTACAATACACAGTGATGGATGTGTTTGCTTGTTCTACAGGCAGTGGAGAAACAGGAGAAGTGTCATGGATCCACAAGGATCCTAAAACCAAGACCAGAGAAGTCACAATGGTTGACTAGTGATTTTTACCTCACGACATCGTGTCCTTCTGATGTTAACCCTCGTGTACGGTTTGAACTTGTATAGAACATTAATTAAATCCAAAACATTGCACATGCCCAGAACCCCCCACCCCCCCAAATAATCACTAATTTCAGCGAACTTCAAGAAACTGTATGTTCCATGTTTGTTAGACTAACACTATCTATCTATTGTCTCAGAGATTGGAGCTCGCACATGTTGACCCACCATACTTCTTTGAGGTGTTTATAAGAGACGCAGATTTTGACTTCAGTCTGAACCTAAGCTGTAAAAGTCGTAAACAAACCATATGGAAGCATGAAATACGAGAAGGTCAGAAAAGATCCATTGACTTAGTAATCATAAATGTCAAATATAGTTTAAGGCCGGGATTCCTCAGGCGAGTTGCACGCTGCACTACAGACAATGCACCTTTTAAAGGCATATTCCTTTACATTCATGGAGATCGCATTCATGGTAAACACTGCCGATATCAGCTCAATCGTAAACTACCTTTAAAAGTAAAGTGTAATGCACTTGTCAATACTGCGCCTTTGATTGAATCCCGTCCTAGAAATGTGTTTAATGTCATGTCATAAGAAAAGGCAAAGTAATTGTATCAGTTTCCTTTTATAGCTGAATACACGGGTCCCATCTTGACCTCAGACCAGCACTTTGTGGACCTCCACCAGACAGCCCTTATTGACAGAGTGAGTCAGGTCGATCCCATCTTGGACAGACTCCTGAAGAGTGGAGTCATCACTGCTGATGGCTACAGTGACGTGATAGCTGAAAATAACAACCAGAAGAAGATGAGGGAGCTCTTTGATGGGCCCTTAAAAGGATGTGGCCCCGAAGGTAAAGATCGGTTCTTAGAGATCCTGACAGAGATGGAGCCAAACCTAATCAATCACCTGAAGCGGGAATGAGGAGCTGGGTTGGTGAATGGGGGGCATTTGAAGTTTATTTTAGGGGAAAGGGCATGAATGATGGCAGTTACGCTTTGTATTTATTTGTGTTTACTAGAAAAAACAAACATAAAAGGAGCATAGGCTCATTCCTTTTATTTCCACATGTAATTATACAGGGGCACAACTTTAGTTTTAGAAGTGTGTGTGTGTGTGGGGGGGGGGGGGGGGTTGGCTATCTAAAGCTAATTTGCTGCATTTCTACACAATCTAATATGACCCTTTTGGGGTTATTTTGGGGTCACTTATTGTAAAGATGAATATAATGTTTCTAAACACTTCTATGTTAATGTGGATGCTTCCATATTTACAGATAATCCTGAATTAATCGTGAATAATGATAAGTGAGAAAGTTACAAACGCACAAATATCATACCCCTCCCAAAAATGCTAACCTCCCCTGTTATTGTAATGGTGAAAGGTTAGCATGTCTTGGGTATGATATTTGTGCGTTGTAACTTTCTGAACTATATTTTAAGACAATGAAATACTCTGCCAACAAAAAAGCTGTTAGAATTATAAATGTGTGTATTAAGGTCCTTGTGTAATGTGATATTGTACCCCCTAGCCCAAATGTCCTTTGTATATTCTTTATATATACACACTTGTGTTCCATGTACTTTTTGAATTGATTTGTTGTTAATAGAAAAAATGAGAAAAGAAAAATGGATAGTTAGTATGGCAAAAGTTCCCTGATGTCGTACTACATTTTTTATTTAACACTAACATGTAAAAAAAACAGAACAGCCAGAGGGATTACAAAGAAATAAGGAAGAGAGAAAATTATAATACAAATCCACATTATATCAAATCAAATAGACATGTAACAAATACATTTTGTTTTGTATACGTTTTAATGATGCTAAATAGTTTTCCAAGTCTGATTTTTTAAAAGGGGGGCTTTTTCTTCATAAATGTAGATTTGTGTATGAAACATTTTCCTAATAAAATTGAGATTTATGACATACTGAAGTTCAATTGTGGAATTAGTGTAGTCAAACTTAGATATTTCAATGGTTGTATGCATTTTGTTGCCAAGATATAGTTGTACATCAGTCCAGAACACCTCACTATGTAAACAATTACAAAATAAGTGTTCAATAGATTGTTTCTAGTTCACAAAATCTGCATTCACTAGTAACATCAGGTATATATTTAAAAATCAGGCTATTACATGGGTAGAATCTATGGATAATCTTAAAGGAGCTCTCCTTTACTTTATTGGTCACCATAAATGTGTGTGGAGTGAGCCAAGCACTGCGCCAGTTTATATCAAACAATGAAGCCCAATAAAATAGTAGAAGGAATAGAATTCCTGTAGAAAACATCCCTTAAACGATTATTGAATTACTCATCTAGTAAACCTATGCCATTCACTTGGATATCGCTTACAATAGATGTTCCAAAATATGCATTATTCTGGAGTAAAGATTTTATCCCACTAGGTATAGCTTTTATAACGGTGTCATATTCCTTGCTTGAAACCTCAAAGTTGTATCTTTCCATAAATTCTCTCAGTGTAAATAGATTCCCACTAATACTAACTAATTGGCTGACAAGGACAATGTTTTTCAAGAACCAGTTACAGTAAAATAACATCTTGTTTCTATGTAATATCGACCCATTATTCCATATAAAACATTTATGAGGTGAAAAGTTGTTTATACAGCAACGCCCAGCACATTAAAGCCTGCTTGTGAAAAGCTGCCAATTTCACATGAAGTTTACCAACAATATAGGGACATTGTAGTAAAAAATTAAGCCCTCAAGCTTCTGAAATACAAAATGAGGTATAATATTCCAGAAACCATGAGGATTTTTAAAGTACTGTAGCGACCCGCACAGACAGCTGTGTGTTATGTGTTAGGCTAGTAGATGGTTGTGTTGTACCTACCAGTACCCAGTGTTCGCGGGGTCCGACATGTCAATCAACCTGCTATCTGCCAATCACGGGAATGCCTGGAATGTTCTGATGCCGGGCATCCTGGCGGTTGGCGGAGTGGCGTGGAGGGGGGTTGGGCAGGGGGATGGAGCATTGGAAGTTAAGACCAGGTTGAGCCTTTGTTCTCTCTCTTTTTACGTCTGGGCTTCACAAGAGAAGGTCACGATTGGCTTGTGGGTTATCTTTCATTTATTTGGCGTGGGCTACGGCCAAACAGTAGCCTGTGTAAAGTTGGTTTAATAAACCGTCCATTCGTAAACTCAAACCTCTGTCTGGACAGTTGTTCTTTTATGATTTAGTCAGGTCATTACATTGGTGTCAGAAGTAAAAACGTTGATAAAAGTTAGCCAGCTAGCTAGCTGACTTCTGTGGCTAGCTACCGTAGGTGAGAACAGGGGTTGAAGATGCTTCGAGGGAATCCGAAAGTGAAGGTGGAGGTAGGGGACGATTATGGCCAAGGAGGTGCGTGTGCATGGACGTCGGGGGTTCTGGCTGAGGAGATCGCCAGGGCATCGGAGCCCAGAGGCCGCTTGAGGGAGGACGTTAGAGTGATGGCGGCTGAAGCGGGCATGAGTGCTTCGTCGACTGTGTTTCGCGCGGATTCTGGTGGGCGGACCGAAGGGGTGACGTCGACGCGGCGGGACGAGGAATCTGCGGCTCAGGATGTAAACAAACATGGCGGCGCCCAGTTCCCGGCTGCGTCCGTATCCGTTAAGACCCCGAAGTATTCCGGTAAGGCGGATTGGGAAGCTTTTCATGCTCAGTTTGAACTGTTAGCTCATTTTAGGGGGTGGTCGGATGAAGATAGGGCACTGCAGTTGGCTTTATGCCTCACTGATGAAGCTCTGGCCTGTTTGATATTGATTAGCCCCGAGGACAGACGTGATTATGGTGCTTTAGTGGGAGCACTGAGGAGGCGCTATGGACAGTGTGTACAGTCCGGGCTACTGCGCTCCGAACTGAGTAATAGACGCAGGCAGCCTGGAGAGCCTCTACGGGTGCTAGCTAATGACATTGAGAGCCTCTCTCGGCGGGCATATGCTCACATGCCCCCCTCCGTGCAGAGCGAGCTAGCACGGGACCAGTTCATACAGGCGCTCTCTCCTACGGAGCTGCGCATACAGACCCAGCTGGCTCATCCTGAGTCATTGCAGGTAGCCTTGGAGATGGCTTTGGAGAGGGAGCTGGTGTGGGCTGGGGCTTCAGCTGGGGCTTTGGTGGGGGTGCAGGGAGACAGACCCTCTGTGCGAGCTGGGGGGCAGAGCAGTCCGGAGCCGGAAAAGCCTGCATGGGTGGCTGAAATGACAGAACTCATTCGTGCTGTGTCGCTACAGGCGGCACGAAACACACGCCCTGGTCCCAGGGTCTGCTGGGGTTGTGGCCAGCCAGGCCATCTGCGCCGAGATTGCCCCATGTCCCCCAGAGCTCAGGGAAACGGCTCGGGGTCCGCATAGACCGGGTAGTGCGGACCCCTGGCTTTCTATCCCAACCACCATCTTCTTCAGGAGGAGCCCACCGGCACAGACGGGGAAGCAAGGCTCCACTTCCCCCAGAAGCAGACGAGGGCAAGCGGATGGAGCCTGTTGTTGTGGTGGGCCGGACCTGTGTTGGGGACTTTTGTCATGTCCCTGTCACTGTGGAGGGGGTGCCCTGCTCCGCCCTGGTGGACACTGGGTCCACAGTAACCCTGGTGAGGCCAGATATTGTGCCAGGTTGGACTCAGTGTGAGCCTACAACTGTGCAGCTCCGCACAGTCACAGGTGAGCTGGCACCCATGAAAGGGAAGGGAATAATGACTCTTACAGTAGGGGGCAGGACTGTGCGTCATCCTGTGTGGGTGGCGGCTGTGCAGGACCCTTGTATCCTGGGGTTGGACTTTCTTAGGAGCACAGGCTGCCAGTTAGACCTAAATAGGGGCACACTGAGCTTCCAGGGAGGGCCGGAGGTCACCATGGCCCCTAATGTCACATTCACTCAACCCAACAAACCCTTTACTCCAACAGTTAAAGCAGCAGAGACTCATGGCTGCCCCCCCTCCCCCACATCTGGGTGTGACTTTTCCCCAGCCCCCCTGTCACCTACGGCGTTGTGCTACATCCCCCCAGCTACCTCCACGACACAGCCCTCTGTGAGCCTGGGCCGCGCCCCCCCAGCCCAGCTACCCCAGATGGGAGGGGAGAGGACACTGTCTGCAGTGAGGGAGATATGGGGGAGGAACTGTGTTGGTCTTGACCCCGAGCAGCAGGAACGGTTGTGGCAGTTGCTGTTTGAATTCAGAGACAGCTTTGCGCTAAGTGAGGAAGAGGTGGGTCAGACTCATCTGGTGCAGCATGAGATCGACACAGGTGATGCTCGACCTATCAAGATGCGTCTCCGCCGTATCCCGCTGGCACGCCAGGAGGCGGCAGACAAGGCTGTGTTGGAGATGCAGCGGGCAGACTTCATTGAGCCCTCAGACAGCCCCTGGGCGGCGCCAGTCGTCATGGTTCCGAAGAAGGGGGGCAAGCTGAGGTTCTGTGCGGACTACAGGCGGCTGAATGAGGTAACCAGGAAGGACTCATACCCCATTCCACGTATCGATGAGTCGCTGGACCTGGTTAGGGGGTCCTCCTGGTTCTCCTCACTAGACCTCCGCAGTGGCTACTGGCAGGTGCCCCTCTCCCCAGAGGCCAGAGCCAAAACTGCGTTCTCCACTAACAGAGGACACTGGCAGTTCAAGGTCCTGTGCTTTGGCCTGTGCAACGCTCCAGCTACTTTTGAGCGTTTGATGGACAGGGTGCTGGATGGCATCCCCCGACAGCAGTGTCTGGTATACCTCGATGACATCCTGGCCCATGGCAGCTCCTTCCAGTCAGCCCTGGGGGCGCTACGGTGTGTGCTGGAGAGGGTGGCTGCCGCAGGTCTGAAGCTCCACCCCGAGAAGTGCCACTTCATGAGGAGAGAGGTGTCCTTCTTGGGCCACCGAGTGGGGAAGGAGGGGATCAGCACCATGGAGGACAAGGTAGCGGCTGTCAGAGAC